TGACATGGTTTTAAGTGCCCTCACCAGTCTGCCTACTGCTTTCTGGACAAGATCCAGTTTGTGAATAACACATCTTCAGAATGTGGTGCCACACTGAGAGACGTAAAATCTCTGCCGCAGCTGTTACCAGTGTGAAGACACACATGTGTGTGCAGGTAGAAATGAAATTCCTGGAGCTGTATTTTCATGCACTCCACATTTCATCCCATATTGTTGAACGCCTTGCTGAAATCCCAGTGTATTACATCCAAGGCATGCTCTTGATTTATCATCACATTTGCTCTATCAAAAAAGGAACTAAGAGGGACTTCTCTGGTGGCTCAGTGGTTAAAAATCCGCCTGCCAACGCAGGGGACACAGGTTCGAGCCCTGGTCCGGGAAGATCCCACATGCCGCGGAGCAGCAAAGCCCGTGTGCCACAACTACTGAGCCTGCACTCTAGAGCCTGTGAGCCACAACTACTGAGCCCGTGCACCTAGAGCCCGTGCTCCACAACAAGAGAAGCCACCACAATGAGAAGCCCGCGCACCGCAACGAAGAGTAGCCCCTGCTCACCACAACTAGAGAAAGCCCTTGTGCAGCAACAAAGACCCCATGCAACCATAAATAAATAAATAGATAAATAGATAAATAAGGAACTAAGAGGACTTCCCTGGTGGCGCAGTGGTTAAGAATCCACCTGCCAATACAGGGGACACGGGTTCAAGCCCTGGTCCGGGAAGATCCCACGTGCCGCAGAGAAACTAAGCCCGTGCGCCACAACTACTGAGCCTGCGCTCTAGAGCCTGTGAGCCACAACTACTGAGCCCACGCACCCTAGAGCCCATGCGCCACAACTACTGAGCCCTAGTGCTGCAACTATTGAAGCCCACACTCCTAGAGCCCGTGCTATGCAAGAGAAGCCACCGCAATGAGAAGCCCGTGCACCACAACGAAGAGTAGCCCCCGCTCACCACAACTAGAGAAAGCCCGCGCGCAGCAATGAAAACCCCACACAGCCAAAAAAATAATAAATTTTTTTAAAAAAGGAACTAAGAAAGAAGGAAAAATGCCCAGGAATGGGCCCAGCCCACCACGTGTGGTTGACAGCACAGGGATGGGCAGGACATGAGCCTTCCTTGCTCTGGACACTAACCTATTAATTCCACCTCGGGTCACATTAACCAACATGGAAGCCAAAGCTCATCACTGACTCAAACTGTGCTTTGGGCCAGGTCACAGGCTCAGATTTTGGCTTAAATAAAGGAGTAACAGAAGAGTTGGTAAGATAACATATGATGTATTTCATCATTCCACTTCGGAAGAGGCCAGCATTGAGCTTCTAAAGGCCCCTGGGTGGGGTTTTGTGCAAAGGTCCTGCAAGGGGTGAGGAAGGAGGGAAATGCTCTGAGTAGGTCAGGTGGATGAGGTAGTTCACAGAGAAAGTGGGAGCTTCTGCCAAGACTGGGCAGAAATGGGGATGGAGTGACAGGGACAAGGGCTCTCCAGGCCCACGGTACTCGGCAAGGAAGGTTGCTGTCAGGGGCATTTTGAACCCTTCTAGCGCAGAGTATCCAAGAAACAAGGGTAGATTCCTGGGCCGAGCCCCAGCATGAAGCAGCAAGGACGCAGCCTTACAGACAGCGAGCCCATGGAGCAAGGACCCAGCCAGCATCTCTGGCTTCTGCCCCACGGAGGGAGGCCCAGGGGTCCTGGGTGGTCCCAGGGAGACAGAAGCAGGCCCAAGAGGTGAATAAGGCTGCATTTCCAGCCACCCCCATTGGGGAGCAGAATAAGTCTGACTCACAGAAATAAAGGCATGTGATGCTCTACTGCAGAGTCATCAACACCCACCATATCTGTGGCTCTCACTCCATGGATCTTCCCCTTCTGATGTTATATTGGGTTGGCCAAAAAGTTCGTTCGGGTTTTCCCATCAGCTGGAAAACCCCGAACGACCTTTTTGGCCAATCCAATATATTTGGTTTGGGGGACCCAAGTGTATTGCTTATATAGTAAGCCCCCTACACACGAACCTTCAAGCTGCGAACTTTCAAAGATGCGGACGCGTGTCCAGTCACGTAAGTTAGTTCATATGTTTGGCGTACACTGTCGCGTGCGTGCATCCTCTACAGGTGGTGGTGCTTTTGTGTCCTTTACTGCACGGTACCGTATAGAGTACAGCAGTACAGTATCTTTATTTCAAGCCCAGGATGTCCAGAAGCAAGCGTAAAAGCAGTGGTGATGTAGCTGGGACTACTGTACTTCTCAAGGTGCTGTACTGTAAGATGAAAAATGTTTGCTTTTTTGTTTGTTATGTATTATTTGTGTGAAAAGTATTATAAACCTATTACAGTACAGTACTATAAAGCTGATCGTGTTAGCTGGGTACCTAAGCTAACTCTGTTGGACTTAGGAACAAACTGGACTTACGAACGCACTCTCGGAATGGAACTTGTTCGAATGTAGGGGACTTCTTACTGTATTTACTCATGGCAAAGTTTTCCTTTCACACATCAAAGCAGCCTTTTCAGTCTCCCAGAAATTCACCTAACTAGACTATTATCCATGCCACGTATCTCTGCTGTGTTCATGAGGACATACCGTCAAATGCCCAGCAGAAACCCAAATGTCCTCTATCTGCTGCACGTTCCCAATCTATCAGCAGTGACCTGCTCGAGAAAAATGAGAGTAGGAAACGACAGAAGGAAACAAGGTTAATCTGGCCTGCCTGGCTCTTGGCAAATCCCTACTGTCTCTCCTAAGGGCTCATCAAATCTGGTCAAACTCACCGCCAAAGATCAGGCGCCCCACCCCCTCCCCACTAAATGTGCCCACGCTGGTCTCCTGAGGTTTATGAATCAGAGTTCACGAGCAGACGATGAGGCAAGCAGCAGGAGAGAGCACAGGGAAATGGGAAGCCAGACCACTGATAAGCATTTTCCTTTTTTAATTAAAAAAATTTGTTTATTAACAAGTCTAAAGAAAACCTTCATTGAATCAGGGGATGTAATACAAATTATAGTGACCTGCATATAAAACCTGGCATCAAATTTGGCCTTTTAGAAAGATTTATATATAAAAATATGCATTAAAACCTGCACCAGGGACTTCCCTGGTGGGGCAGTAGTTGAGAGTCTGCCTGCTGACGCAGGGGACACAGGTTCGTGCCCCGGTCCGGGAGGATCCCACATGCCGCGGAGCGGCTGGGCCTCTGATCCATGGCCGCTGAGCCTGCGCATCCGGAGCCTGTGCTCCACAACGGGAGAGGCCACAACAGTGAGAGGCCCGCATACCGCAAAAACAAAAACAAAAAAACCCTGCACCAGAACACAGTGCAGAGGTTAACTGACACCCCCGAAGGGAGGGCTTACCAAGGTGGTCTGGTCTGTGGACGCAGGGAGCTCTCAGTCCGACGGCCTCAGGGGTGAGCCTTATGTGACAATGGCCTGCTGGGAAGGAGCCCGAAAAGCTTGTCTCTTTGAAGGCAGGACTCCTGTGAGCACCAAAATGCCACTAGCCTGGCATAAAACAAAACTGGTGCTGGGAGAAGACAGACAGGAGAGAGGGCTGTCCTCCTTTTCATTACTGGGCTCTGACCACTATCTGAAGATTCTGGAACTCTACAGACAAACCACCTTTAACTTTAGAGGAACTTCTGCAATTTCCAAATATGTTTTTTCCAAGTAAGCTACCCAATTCTAACTCAAGGAGCCAAATCGTAATTGGCCTGATTTTAAGGATTAAGAGCTAGTTCTGATGTCATTTTCTGCGGGCCAAGACCCTGAAATACCTATCAGAATGGCTATAATCACAACAGAAAAGCATGATGACGATGGTCTCAATCTATTTTGGTCTTGGACCCAATGCAACCAAGCAATTCTAGCCCAGAAGTTATACTTCACAGCCACTGAAACAAGAGGCGGCTTTGATCAATGCTGGAATTCCCCCATCCTGGGTACAAACTATCTCTGCACAAGGCAACTGAAGCCTTTGGGAAAAGCCGGGTCAGTATTGTGTATCTGTCCTCAAGGAGGAGGATGCAGTTTCTTCACTGATGAGCCTGTCATTTTGGCTGAACTGGGTCAGGACTGTTTGACCATTGGCTTATTCACTCATGGAGGAGCTGCTGTCCTTGGTCTGCTCTTCCTCTGGTTCTGTGGACAGGGGCAACCATCCCTGACTCAGTTGCTAAGCTGCTGCCCAAACAGCAGGGCTCCACGGATGGGAGACACACAAATGGGGACCTGAAAGAAATGGAGGGCGGGCATAGGGGAGTGCGAGGAAACACGATGGGGGCAGGCGAAGAAGCGGCCTTGTGGGCCTTTAGTAGTCGGCAAGGACAGCCAGGGCCTCTACAACTTCAGAGCGCGGCGAGTTACTGAAAGGGCTGGGAGTCCTTCCTGTCATGCCAGTGGGCTCTACAAGGGGAAACCAGCCACCCTACCAGTTTCTATCCAAAAGCATAGTGATTTTCTCAGCTGCCTCCAAGGTGTTGTTTTTTTGTTTTTTTTCTTTCCTTCCAAGCCCTCGGCTCCACTGTCCTGCTGCAGGGTCATCTGATGCTTTTCCTCAACTGTGGCAATAAGTGAAGTGAGGACAAAAGGGTCTGAATCACAATTTAGGCAAAAAGCCTAGAGCCCAGTCGGGCTGTTAATGAGGGGCTTTCTCTCTCAAGGTAGTGTATTTCAGGACCCAAGTGCTCAGGGTAAGAGACAGGTAGGTACTCCTTGTCACTGGGGATCATCAACGCATCCTGCCAGACCCAAACAGCAGAGGACACTTTACTGGCCCAGTTACTTGGCCCAGTTACTATGGCTCTTTCAGGACAGGAGGCCAACCTGCGCAGTTCCTTCACCAAGTCTTAGGGCCTCGTAGCCCACTAAAAGTGACCTGACAACACCCTCTAGTGGAAATTATAAATAAAACAAGGGCCATGCGTCCAATTTACCTTGTTCTGACACCAGAGTGGTTTCAAGAGTCCCCATAAAACGGAATAAAATAACAAAAACAAAACATTCTCTTTAAGAATGTAATAATAAAAAAAGGTGGGCGTTCACAAGCCATCCTTAAGCCCCTCACTGCCAAATCACCTTCCCTCCTCAGACACTCTGCCTTCAACACATTCTAAGAAAGGGGGACACGTTGTGGCGTGCGGCTACTGGTCCCCTTAGAGTTTGGGCAGACTGCCTGCCGGTGCCAGAATGATGCTGGAAACATAGAAGAGGCCCAGCAGAAGGTTGAGTTTGGCAGTCCTCTGGGGCAGTTTGTTGAAAGTCTGGCTTCGGAACTGTCTCTCAAGGGAGAAGGCCATGGGAATGGTGAGCAGGGGCAGTGCCAGGCTGATGCTGCAGTGCACAGCCAGGATGCTGAAGATCAGGTAGGGCAGGAAGAGCAGCGTGTTGTAGAGCATGTAGGAGAGAGTGGGGCCAATGAGGATGGCGAGCGTGACGATGCCAGCCTCCCGGTCAGACTCCATGTCCCTGGTATTGTTGGAATGGAGGATGGCCTCGGTGCTAAGGGCGAGGGGGATGGCGTAGACCAGCGGGAAGACCGCCAGGGACCCCACCTGGACGGCGTAGGCGAACATCACAGCCAGCGGGCCAAAAGTGATGAGGATGATGAGGTCTCCCAGAGCCAGGTACTTGAATCCAATTCCTAGGCCAGAAAACACAGAGAGCTGCTGTGAGATCAGGGGCTGGAAACCGCGGCAGTCAAAAGGCAGGCTGCTGTGGCTGCACGGGGCATATTCTTAGGCTGTGAAGCGGGGCAGTGGTTGCATTCCCCTCCCCTCCAGGGCAAAATCTGACTTTTTTCTCCAGTGGCACAGAGGGACAGAGAAGACTAATCGTTTAGCACCCAGTTCAGTCTCAGAGTCATCCCCGAGTTTTCCTTCCTGCTGTCCCCCAACAAAGGCCTGCCACAAAGAGCGGGGGCCTCCCAAACTAGTGGCTACCAGTGGGGAAGAGGGTAGAGGGGCAAAACAGGGGTGGGACGTGGGAGGTACAAACTACTGGGTGTAAGATGGGCTCAAGGATGTGTTGTACAACATGGGGAATACAGCCAGTATTTTGTAATAAATGTAAGTGGAAGGTAACCTTTAAAAACTGTATAAAAAATTGAAAAATGTTGAAAAAAAGAAAGAAGAGCAGGGGGTTCCAAGTCACAGACAGTTCAACGGGAGAGCCCGTGAAGGATCTCACAGGTCTTAGGGTCCAGGGCTTGCGTTTCTTTCATCCTCCACCAACCCCTGCAAGACACTGCTTCTGTCAGGAATGCCCTGAGATCAGCTCCTCACGGAATACCCACCCCAGCCTCTTACTTTTCAGCCACAACCTCTGGAAGCATCTTCTGGTTCTGAAAATCTCCAGTTAATCTCAGCGAAAGTTCAGGGTTCCCAAACTCCACACAGAGCAACTTTCACCCACATAATGAGTAAAACAGCTAAGACAGGGAACTTATAACACTGCTTCCCCTCTCTGGTTCCCATGAAGTTAAAACACTAAATAATCCCTAACTTTTCCTCCCATACTGCTAATCTACTTCAAATCCTGTCTAATCCCCATCTTTCAAACTGGCCCCCACACATACTTCTTTCAGTTCCTCAGGGCCTTCAGACACTCCCCCAACCCCGACCCCTTGCCTGGCTAACTTCTACTCATCCTTCAAGACTTTAAAGACCATTCCTCAAGGCAGCCTTCCTCAGCCCTAGACCACATTTGGTTCCCTTGCAATATGCTCCACAGCACCCTGACTTCCACTTTCATAAACTCCATCACACTTCTAGTTTTTGTTTTGTTTTTTTTTTTTGACCGCACTGTGTGGCATGCGGGATCTTAGTTCCCCGACCAGGGATGGAACCCGTGCCCCCTGCAGTGGAAGCTCAGAGTCCTAACCGCTGGACCACCAGGGAATTCCCACACTTCTAATTCTTAATCTCTGTCTCTCCCACTAACCTGTAGGTTTCAGTGAGGGCAGGGCCTTGTGTCTGGCCAGTTAACAGCTGGCTCCCCAGTGCTTGACACAAAGGATGAGCTGAACACAGAGCTACAGTAACAAGCACCTGGAATTTGGAACCAAGGTCATGAAAAATGTCCCACTTGGATTGAAACAGGCAAAGCAGCATGGAAAGGGTGAGAGACACCCACTCAAAGAGGTGATCCACACATATATTGCTACAGAAGCTTGGGAAACCTCTGATCTAATCAAGCTACCAAGGCATGGCCTCAGGATCAGAAAATTAAAAAAAAAAACTATTGGGTCATCAATTGCATTTTAAACAGCCTAAAACGATAAGGGACAATGATCTGTACAAGATCTAAAAGCATGGTAGCCAAAGAACAAGATGCAGCCCAAATTTACCTCCACACCTAGCGGTTGGGATTCTTTAGTGCTAAAGGACCACCCTTGATTCTTTGGAAGGAAGCAGCTCCAGGAAAGGGTATAACAGGCATGGCCCCTGATACCCCCAACACACAGCAAACTAATTCTGTACTCCCCAGGCAGTGTTTTGATAAATAACTTGGTTGTCTGAGGACATGCCCTCCAGGAGGAAGGTCTCTCAAGCAGCACCTCGGCTCCAATTCTACATTAGGAAATCGATGTCTTGTGCGGTATCTCACACGTTTAGGCAACTACCCCTGCCCAAGGAAGATGCCAGGCAGGAATGCTCCCAGCACCAGTCTAGCAAATTTCTCCACCAGCTGTCTGCTCTTCTTCTGCATTTTTTTGCAGCTCTCCAAGCAGACTTCGGGGCTCTTGACCTCTGGCAAGAGTACCCAAGAACACCACCTTAGATCACCTGGCAAAAAACAACATGAGCAAAGCTTCTTGAGGTTATCTGACACCAGAAAATGACAAAGCCCTTGAGCAGAAAGCCCTGTTTCCTGAGCGTCCGACCCAAGGCTCATGTGCTCCACCTGATTCAGAGATGTGGCCCACCTGGGAGTTTCCTTTTAGGCACTCCCCTCCTCCCAACACCATTTTCCACATGAGCCAGCACAGTGAAACACTGGGCCAGTTCTCCACACAGCAGCCAGAATGAATTTAACACATAAATCAAAATGTTGGCATCAAAAGGATGTGGAGTAAATGGAACTCTCATGCCTCGCTGGTGGGGAGGTAAAAGCAGTAGAACCACTTCAAAAAACACTTTGGCAGCTTCTCATAAAGTTAAACATCATCTACCCTATGACCCAGTAATTCGATTCCTAGGCATTTACCCAAGAAAAATGAAAACAAATATCCACAGAAGACTTGAATATGAATGTTCAGTCGTAATAGCCAAAATATGGAAATAATCCAAAAGTCGCTGAACAGGATAATGGATAAACAAATTGTGGTATGTCCATACAATGGCTACCTCTCAGTGATACAGAGGAACTACTGATACACATGACAACACAACGAAACTCAAAAACAGGCACAAGAATTCACACCGAATGATTCCATTTACATGATGTTCTAGACCACGCAACAGTGGTGGCCTCTAGATGGGGTGGGAAGAGTGGGGTTGACAGGGAAAAAGCACAAGGAAGTTTTTGGGGGTGACAGAAATGTTCTGTATTATGGTAGGGGTATGGGTTATACAGCTGTATGTAATTGTCAAAATTCATGAAACTATAATGCTTAAGATCCATGCATTTCACCATACGTCAACTATATATCGATAAAAGGCAACGTTAAAAAAAAACATAAATCAGATTATATCATTAACCTGCTCAATACATTTCAATGTCTCCCCATTTGTTCATTCAATAAATATTAAGTGCTGACTACTTGCCAGGCACTGTTCTGGGCATGATGGAGAGAACAAAGAGACTAAAATCCCTACGCCCAAGGAGTTTACAGTCTAAGGGGGAAGATAATTAACAAAGTAAGTACTTTATGTGGTTAGAAAGTAATATGTGCTATGAAAAAAAAGCAGAGGAGAGCAATAGGGAAGGCACTGTAGGGGAGACACAGGGTGTGTGTGTGATTTTATTTTATTTTTTTCAGCTGCTGCAGAAAAAAATTGTTATTGTTTTGTAATTTTAAATAGGGTAGAAGCTGACATTAGAGCAAATGGGTGGCAGTTAGAAAGCAAATCATACACACAGATGGGGGAAGAGCGTTCTAAACAGAGGAAACAGCATCTCAAAGGACCTGAGGCAGGAGCATGCCTGGCGTGTTCCAGAAACAGCTAGCAGGGCAGTGTGGCTGGAGCATGGTGAAGAGGAGAGCAGGTCAGAGAGTTGTGGGGAATTGCGGGTGGAGCAGATAATGTCAGGCCCTGAGGGTCATTGTAAAGACCCCGACCTTTACTCTAATGAGGTGGGAGCCACTGGAGAGTTTTGAGCAGGCGACTGACACAGCTGCAGGATTACTCTGGCTGCTGATCTGGGAGCACTGGGAAAGGGACAAGGGTGCATGCACAGAGACAGGTAAAGAATCAGCTGCAATAACTGAGGGAGATGACAGTGGTAGTGGTGGGAAGTGACGAGAAGTGGTCCAGTCCCAAATGCAGGTTAGAAGTGGAATCGCTACAATCCTGCAGCCTGTGGAACAAAAACCACATTCACAGAAAGACAGACAAGATGAAAAGGCAGAGGCTATGTACCAGATGAAGGAACAAGATAAAACCCCAGAAAAACAACTAAACGAAATGGAGATAGGCAACCTTCCAGAAAAAGAACTCAGAATAATGATAGTGAAGATGATCCAGGACCTCGGAAAAAGAATGGAGGCAAAGATCGAGAAGGTGCAAGAAATATTTAACAAAGACCTAGAAGAATTAAAGAACAAACAAACAGAGATGAACAATACAATAACTGAAATAAAAAATACACTAGAAGGAATCAATAGCAGAATAACTGAGGCAGAAGAACAGATAAGTGACCTGGAAGACAGAATGGTGGAACTCACTGCTGCAGAACAGAATAAAGAAAAAAGAATGAAAAGAAATGAAGACAACCTGAGAGACCTCTGGGACATTAAACGCAACAGCATTCACATTATAGGGGTCCCAGAAGGAGAAGAGAGACAGAAAGGACCTGAGAAAATATTTGAAGAGATTATAGAGGAAAACTTCCCTAACATGGGAAAGGAAATAGCCACCCAAGTCCAGGAAGCACAGAGTCCTATACAGGAGAAACCCAAGGAGAAACACGCTGAGACACATAGTAATCAAATTGGCAAAAATTAAAAACAAAGAAAAATTATTGAAAGCAGCAAGGGAAAAATGACAAATAACATACAAGGGAACTCCCATAAGGTTAACAGCTGATTTCTCAGCAGAAACTCTACAAGCTAGAAGGGAGTGGCATGACATATTTACAGTGATGAAAGGGAAGAACCTACAACCAAGATTACTCTACCCAGCAAGGATCTCATTCAGATTCGATGGAGAAATCAAAAGCTTTACAGACAAGCAAAAGCTAAAAGAATTCAGCACCACCAAACCAGCTCTACAACAAATGCTACAGGAACTTCTCTAAGTGGGAAACACAAGAGAAGAAAAGGTCCTACAAAAACAAACCCAAAACAATTAAGAAAATGGTAATAGGAACATACATATCGATAATTACCTTAAACGTGAATGGATTAAATGCTCCAACCAAAATACACAGGCTCGCTGAATGGATACAAAAACAAGACCCATATATATGCTGTCTACAGGA